CGAATGTAAACAAAACAGTCCATTGCGGTGATTATGCTAGCCAGTTACCTGAACTATTTTTGCATGTTAAGACGGTACAAAGTTTACATGTCAATTATTGACAACGCCCTCCATTTTCAAAGAGGCATGGGAGCTAAATTTTCTTTTTAACTCCTAAAGTCTCCAAAAAGCCAAAGAACGCGACTTCCGCGCTCCACGGTCACGGAATGTTTCATTTTGCTTCAACTAGGTTACAAGAGAGTAACAAACATAAAAAAGAAGAAGGGGAGATAAGGACGACACTAATTTTTAATAGGGAAGAAGAAGCAAACCACACCAGAGCACACCCGCCAACCACCCACCGTCAGTTTTTTTAGCATATGGAGTTATTGATATTGCCATAAGAATCATGTTTATTGGCCTGCTTTTGAAGAAAAAGATAACCATATATCTTGAATACATATCGAGATATTTGCGATTGGATGAGATGGGGGTCGCCTGGTTTCAGAGGCAAAACTAGCAAAAAAATGGCCGCCAAAGTTATGTAACTCCCATAGCCTGAAAATCCTTGGAAACTGAAAAATTACATTTATTGTGCCTTTAATCAATATTTTTCAGTAAAATCTACACCGAAATGTGCTCTTAAAAGGAAATAAAAAGTGTTCAGCGAAGACCCCCCTTTAAATTCACAAATTAAATTTTTCATACCAATTCAAGACATCAACAACACAACAATAAAGCTCGCCCCCCCCCAAAGAAAACAGCAACAAACAAAAACCCAACTACTAACTTATATTGATAACAAAATAGCTTGTACGTCAGTTTCTTTCGATGACTAATATATCCGCAGAGGATAATATTTTTCAAGCAAAGTAAACAAATTAAAAGAATTAAAGATAAAGATGACTTGTGGCTTTTGCTGTGCCCCAACTAGAGATAAAAAATTTAATCCTTATTGTGGAGACATAAAGCCCTTCCAAATTGCTGAGGAGAAAGAAATCCTTTTCCACACACACCCCTCCTCCCAATTCCCCCCCCCCCCAAGAATGGCGACAAGTTTACCACAGATGAAATGGTATATCACTTTCATCTCCAGGAGTGGGCCCTTATGTAGACGACCAGGAGTTGGAGGACATCGCCTCTGCACCATCCGAAAATTTCATGTTCACGATAGCCGATTATGACGCACTCCTATCCATCAAAAACACCCTCGCTCTCCGCGTTTGTAAGGCAGGCAGGCCAGGAAGTCAGAGGCAGATAGACGCTGAGTAGAGGGGACATAGTGGCGTGGGGCTGATTACCCCGACATGTTAAAGAGTTGCTTTTCCTCGAGACAATGACAACACTAATGGTTGATACGATAATAGGACAAATCGATTTGTCAATAAACTACACCAACCCCCCCCCCCAAAAAAAAACCAACAAAAAAAACCAACACACAACCCAACCCTTCCCACAGACTCTCATATGTTTGATGGTCATGTTCTGTTTTAATGTTTTGACCCTGTATTGGGATTATTACCTTTAAACGTCTTTGTTAAAGTGTATCGAATTTATTTGTTATCTTTTACCACCCAAAGTCAAAATAATATATTTTTTTTTACAGTACCTTCCTGTTATGTTTTAAAAACGTGAATAATCGAAGTATTCACTTCCCCCCACACCCCAAATCCACCACTCGCTCGAACTCCCACTTTTCAACAGCAAACATTTTGTGTCTTGACGCAATGGAATCAGGCTCTCGTACATTTTGGGCATATGGAGTTATTGATATTATCCCAAAGCCTGTTTATTGGTCCTGCTTTTGAAGAAAAAGATAACCATATATCTTGAATAGAAGCAGCGATATTTGCGATTGAAGGAGGTTGGGGCGGGGAGGGGGAGGGGTGGGTCACTTGCTGTAAGCGGTAAAATTAGCGAGAAAATGGCCTAGAAAATTTTGAAACTTTCATAACTTGGGAGTGTGGATGGAAACTACACATTTCCAATTTTGTAGATCAACGTTTTTCAGTAAAATCTACACCGAAATGTGCTCTTAAAAGGACATAAAAGGCGTTAAGGCAAAAAAAAAAAATTCGGAAAAAATACCCACCGGCCAGTAACGGTTTCTTTAATTTCACTATTTTGACGAGTGCCTGATTTCACCACGATACCTCACATTTGAAGTACAACTCTATGTATTGTTGTACTTTTAGGTAAAGAGATAAAGATGACAAATAACGTTAATTCCTTGTGTTTTTCGGGTTTGTTGAGGTGGGGAGGAACGATCATCATCATCATCATCATCATCATCATCATCATCATCATCATCATCATCATTATCATCATCATCATCATCATCATCATCATCATCATCTTTCCAATGATCAAGAGGGAAATCAGAGACCCACCATGTAGAACTAAGTACCATCACCTGGAAGATGTGTATTCTGGGTACTCCTATAAGCGGGAACTAAAGTCTATCACATGTTGCTGGGACCAGGTTGAGCTAGCGAGACTGCGGTCGGACCACCATTGGAGTTTAAGATGGTATAAGAACTTTGTAAATGAAGAGCTCAGCCCAAGTTGCCGAAGATGCGGCCATGAAAAGGAAGATGTCAAACATATGTTTGAATGTCCAGGAACAATGGCAATTCGAATGGAGTTATTTGGACGAGTAGAGGTGACGCTAAGCATATTGATAATGGAGCCGAAAAAGAGCCTCGCTCTCGCTCGAAGATTTCTTCGTGGAGTCCGTCAGGCCCATTAAGGAAACAAAAAAAAATCATCATCATCATCATCATCATCATCATCATCATCATCATCATCATCATCATCATCATCGTCATCACCATCATCATCATCATCATTGTGAAGATACTTACTTTACTTTTACTTTTGCCGTTAAGCGTCGAGGGGAGATGCAGTTTTCTTTGGTAGGCCAGCTCCGCAGCTCTTTCAGAAGTGATATCAAGTTTTCTCATTGTTTCCGTGACACCCTCAATCCACCTTTTGCGTGGCCTTCCTCTTCCTTTTTAGCCTGAGTGCTTGGTGTTGTAGGCTCTCGAGGCTGGTTGGTCAGGTGACATACGTAACAGGCGGCCAAACCATTTTATTCTCTGTCTTTCTATGCAATGCAGGCAGGACTCAATGCCGATAGCTGCTCTTACATCTTCATTGCTCTGCCTGTCTCGTCTTGTGATGTTAAGGGTTTTGCGGAGACATTTCATTTCGCATGACGTGGTGATTTTGCTTTCTTGTGTTTTACTTAATGTCCAGGTCTGGCACTGGTAGCATAATGTTGGTATGAATATTGAGTTGATGAGCTGTCTCTTTGTGTCATTGGAGATGTTTTTAGTTTTTAGTAGAGGTTTTACGGCGCTCGCAACTGCATAAGGTCATACGAGCGCCAGAAGATTAGAGGTGTTACAAGAGAGTAACAAACATAAAAAAGAAGAAGGGGAGATAAGGACGATAGATTTTTAATAGGAAAGAAGGAGCAAACCCCACCAGAGCACCCGCCAACCACCCACATGGAGATGTTTGGGTGCCGCAAAAAGAACAAAGAACAAATCGTGAAGATACTGGGCAGATATGAGAGATTGCAATTTTAATTCTCCCAAAGGCTAGGGCTACCATCCAACACCATGGATATTATCTCTTGCATCTCAAAAGCAAAAGAAGAATTTCACACCAGATATCCGTGTTCTAAAATTCCTTTATAATATTAGACTGAACCAGGACTAAGAAAAAATTATTTTTTTTCTGAAATGTTTTTCTGATATTGGTAGTACCGTAACGTTTTTTCCGTGGTGTCTTTCTTTACATTCTTCTAATTTGACTTTTTCTACAAACCAAGGTCTGGGTTTAGCCATAAATGGATTTGCGCACTATACCAAAATAAGGAAAAGGACAAACACAACTCTAGTAGTAGAATCATACAAATTGACACGGACTAGCTTTTACGACAAGACACTTTTTTCTCTTCATTTTTAGGAGCAGTCAAGATCGTTGCTAATTAAAGAGGAACTAGATTATCTCAAGTTGTTCTTTCGGTGCAATAGAACACAGAACAACTATATTTCTGATCAGCCATTTTCTCCTTACCAGGACAAGTCTTTTATTCCACCAGAATGGAGATAGAGGGAAGTTCCTGGAATCATGTGGCCGTAAACAGGTGATCGCTGAAAGGCTTACTTGAGATTTCTTTTAGCTGGACTTGATCCAGGCTGTAAATCAGGAGGAGGTTGGGGGGGGGGGGGGAGGGGGGCAGGGACAGCAAACAACATGACCACTGTATTTACTTAGATGGGCTAGAGGCTCGGTTTGAGAGTTGACCAGTAGGGGACGACAAAATAGAATGGGGGTGGGGGGGGGGGGGATATAAGCAGCAATCTTGATTCAGTATGCCCGTTATTAAGCCCTATGTTAAGCACTTACTCAAACAATGGGCCAAAAAGTGTATGAGGGTTTTTTTTCCTGCAGAGACGCTTGAAAAGAAAAAATGGAAAACCAAAATCCTCTTGAAACACCTGAGTTCCATTAGCGATCAACAGAGAGGACTTAACCAAGAGGTAGATATAAGACTAGACAAAACTGATACAGTTACATGTAAGTACAAGCTATTTGGGAAGCAGAATCTCAACAGACAATGTCATAGCAGCCCGCTTCTAAAATTATCTAAAGTACAGGGTGTCTAAAAAAGGACCTAAATAAAACCTTCTAACCTTCTAAAAATTCTAACCTTTTCCTTATTTTGGTATAGTGCGCAAATCCATTTATGGCTAATCTTCTCAGACCCCCCGGGGCAGTGCCACTGACTGAAGTGTCTTTAGGCCATTCCAAAAGGGGGGACATTTCTCGTTCATGCACACAGTAGAATTGTAAATGGGCTGATTCATCAATGTCACGCTTATAACTGTGCCTGATCTACAACAGGGAACTGCTGCTTTTTCTTTCCTAAACCTTACTATTGTCATTTTTTCCTCTACTTCTTTTGTATGTTTGTCACACTCTAGTGACCCACTATTTCCGGGGTGCCTTGACAGTCGAAGCAGACTCTGTGCTGTTGAAGCCAGAGAGGTGAGCAGAGAAAGTCGGATTCCGTGTAAGGACTTTTCTGTTGACATCCACCCCTTGGCGCTCATATGACCTTATGCAGTTGCGAGTGTCGTAAAACCTCTACTACAACTAAAACTAAAAAACTTTTTAAAAAATTTCTCTTCATAAATTTCAACAAAACTTCGAACAAACACAATCCATTCATGATGACATAAAGTCTGTAAATATGGAGAAAATCAATCATTCGTAGTGTTTAAGAAAAATCAAGTTTTAAAAATGTCGACTAAAGTTGGGAAAAACGCCAAATTTTACTTCTTTAAAGTGTTAAATTAAAAGCTATAGGAGCGTGATCGGCATGTTCTGGTTCCAGGACAAGGACAGTAAAAGCACGACAGTCACTCCAGATGGACATTTCACTGTGCTGAGAAAGTATAACAAAATGATAGGCATGGGAGAAAAAAACTACCTTTACCTTCGAAATGTAACGAGTGATTGTCTAATTCGGCAGCAATTTGTATTCTGAAAATGAGAAAACTATACAGGAACAAACGAGATAAGGCAATGTTTTCAATGACGGAAAAGGGAGACGTTGGTTTCTTAATAATGAACCATGTTATGTTTATGTGTACCTTTCAAAATGGGGCTCTCTTGACCTAGAGGTTAAGGCATTCGCCTCTCATTCAAAGGTCCCGGGTTCGAACCCAGATAGCCACGGAAATTTTTTTTCTCTTAAATTGTCTCCCTCCACCTCTTTTTTCTGCGTTCTAACAATGTTCTATCGTCTGGTTTCGTCTCCACTTTTTGCCCCTACCCTCTCACCTTCTGTGCCCCCTCCTCTGGGCTTCCGACTCTTTCTGCAGCCTTTCTTCTACTGCTACTCTTTGGATCCTTCTTACTGCTGTCTTTCAGCCACACCCCTGATCTTCTTGTAGGAAAGATATACACTTAGCCTTCTCGGATAAGGGTAAAAAATCTCGGAGGTCCCGGGTACAAGTTGTGCACATTAAAGATCCCTTGGTGGTCTAAAATTGATAAGAGTTAACTTCGGCCGCCATCCAGGCAACATTAAAAATTTCCTACAAACTGAAAATGTTTAATGTGTCCCGCGCGCTCATGTGACCTTAAAAGTTGCGAGCACCGCAAAACACTTACGAAAAAAAAAAAAAAAAAAAAAAAAAGGAAAGCAGGAACGCACCATATCAGAGCACTCGCCAACCACTCACACACATCAGGTTTATGATCGAAACCGGCCTAATAAAGTGACCAAAAAAACCCTTTAACCTTAGAAATATAACGCGATATGGCAGTAATGTTTTTATTTTTCAAGAACAAGAGAACACAACAAATAAGATAAGCAGTTGAGGTTTAAGGGGGGGGGGGGTCCTTAATTTTTATTCCGGGTGAATTTTTGTGTATATTAAAGATAATTTAGATTTAGACCGACACGCAGAACAGTCGGTCGTCGATACTTATAGGCCCTCTACGTTCTACGTTTGTTCACTTCTGATTTGCTGAGGGGAAGGAAGCTGACGCAAAATGGTGAGAGCCAGCTTAGTTCTGTGTTTTCTGGTAAGTCTAAACATCATTATAATGTACATGATGAAGCACGCTAATAGCCACATGGGATATAATGTGATATTAAAATTTGTTTGGCCGGATACACTTGTCTACAATGAATTTGTTTCCGGCTTAAAACAAGATGGGTTTTTTGTTTTTTGTTTTTGTTCGGTTTGTTTGGTTGTTGTTATTTTAGACTAATTTGGGGGCGCTGAATTCGAAAATAATACTCGTTTGTGATGTTTAGGTCCAGTGTTTTAGATACAACTTGAGGTCGTCTTTCCTTATTTCAAAAAGTAAAAAA